TGCTCCTAGTCCGTCCCTAGTCTGCTCCTAGTCCGTCCCTAGTCTGCTCCTAGTCCGTCCCTAGTCCGCTGCTAGTCCGCTCCTAGTCCACCCCTAGTCGGTCCCTAGTCCGCTCCTACTCTGTCCCTAGTCCGCTCCTAGTTTGTCCCTAGACCGTTCCTAGTCTGCTCCTAGTCCGTCCCTAGTCCGCTCCTTGTCTGTTCCCAGTTCGCTCCTATCCGCTCCTAGTCCGTCCCTAGTCCGCTTCTAGTCCACTCCTCGTCCACTGCTTTTTACAGTGGGGTTTGTTAAAGCTAAAGATAATCCAAAGAGTCTAATTGCAAGTTTAACAATCTGCAGAGCATTTCTTTAGAGTATTCATCAGAAAAAATATATATTTGACTCACTGGATTGGCCCTATAGTGGCCCAAAAGGGCCATATCACAGAAAAATATATTTTATGATATATAAAATTAAATGATTAAAATATAAGATATTTTAGTTTGTGGAAACCAGTGCTCCTTTACATACAGCTGGAAATAATAGTACAATTTAAATAGACATAGACAAGCTAAGAAAAAAATAACATAGGTTGCAATTCTTAAGATGGTTTTTAAAAAATTAATACAAAATATAAAAGATAATCAACCTCTCAGGATGTGCAACATAGGTTGCAATTCTTAAGATAGTTTTTAAAAAATTAATACAAAATATAAAAGATAATCAACCTCTCAGGATGTGCAACATAGGTTGCAATTCTTAAGATAGTTTTTAAAAAATTAATACAAAATATAAAAGATAATCAACCTCTCAGGATGTGCAACATAGGTTGCAATTCTTAAGATAGTTTTTAAAAAATTAATACAAAATATAAAAGATAATCAACCTCTCAGGATGTGCAAAATGTTTTTACAAAAAAGGTATGAACAAATAAACCTGTATTTATAATCTACTCTTCACAAAATCCCGTATTAAAAAAATACATTTATGTAGGAAAAGTATGTGTGATTAATTTATTATTAAATAACCTAATGTGACCTTTATTTCAACCTTACATGTTAAAAATACTCTCTAGCTTTTCAAAATAAACATCTAACCAATCGGCAAGTCTAAAGCAGTTTTAGCCCCGCCCATTCGCTTTCATTGGTTAAAAATAGATACTGCAATCAAGTAATGGAAATATTCAAATAATGGTCCAAACGAGGGTAATCTGAATTGTATGTGTAGATAAAGGGACCCATTAAAATCAAATGAAGCGTATAACTTAAAGGTATAGAGGACAATTTTCACTCATTTCTGAAAAGACCAGCCCTCTCCACTTTAGAAAAAAAATGCACATGTACAACCCTGTACCCGCTCCAGAGAGGGAACGCCTATTAAACGCGTGCGAGAGCATGCGCAAGCCCATTTCTCCTCGTGCACGCTCTGTTTAATAGTTGCCATTTGAATCACTCATACAAGCTTACTTTCCCAAAAAAGATTCACAATTTTTTCACTGTCCGAATCACCACTGGAAACTGAAAATGTGGACGAGCACGTAGGACGGCCTTACGTAAACATATCACCAGAGTGATTGTCAATTAGGAGGACCACTTATTTAGATGATCCACCCAGAAATAAAAGATCGTCCTCTATACATTTAATTACTACAAATAAACACTGGGTTTTCTTTCTGATCCACTGTAGTGCTGCCAGAGCTGACCAAGTCACCTGAATAGCTGTTGTTGAAACATGTCTTTTGGGGGTTTTTTTTTTGTTATCCAATCCTCCACTATACCTTTAAAGACACATTATGTAAGTTTTTACCTAAAAATATATTTGAAATAGCCTTTTTATTTGATCTTTCCGACTAAAACTTAATTTGATGAGCAGACTGACACCTCAGCAGTTGAGCCTTGATGCATCTATTAGCCTGTAGCCTATTTTCATTTTTATTTTTATTTTGTGTCCTTTTTAGCAATATAGCTCTGGGAATAGCTCTGTCCCAGCTAGATAGTCCAACAGATTTGCTTTCACAAACAGATCACTGTTACCATAAGGTTTCACTTAGTATATGTATATGAAACTTATATAAGACATAGTAAGGAAAGAGGACATGAAAAGAGAGAGAATAAAACAAAAAAGCAAAAATAGACAAAAGATAGACAGTATCTCCTAGAAGTCTACTTCCAGAACCTGTATGCGACATGAGGAACAGGAAAAAGAGAGAGCAGTGGCTATGCCTTAGGCATCCATGTGTGAAAGGTAAAACTTACACAATATTATTCAGGGCGTTATATATCTGTAAATGCAGCTTAGTTTTTAGTATTAGTGTGTCCACTAGCATCTGGAACCAAACTTGCCTGGTATGTATCCATGGGCATGTTCCTGTGTAAAGGATTTTTTAAAAGCCTCTTCAGAAGGAAAATATGCTTATTAGCAGGTGTGGGTGGCTCCAGACTCTCCCTACTGGGCCCAGGACTGGTAAAGAGGCAATCTAGGCCCCGATATCCAAAGGCACCCCATATCATTGGGTCACAAGGAGGGCAGACATTAGGATGGCCAGACCTACCAGAGAAGGGCAAATAAGGGCACCCAGAGACACACCCCTTAGGGACCAAAGCCTAAAGTGCCCGACCCCAGAGGCCATAGTACCAAGTTCCACAGGGCCATGGCATCCCAATGGTTCTGCCGGCGGCTGGTCACACCCAGATGAGAGCCCAGGGGTCCGAGACCAAGGGACGTACCGCCCCCTAGGAGGCTCCTCTCATTGGCTGGTAGCATAAGGGGGAGGAGACTGGCCCTGCTCATACTTGGGGCCTACAAAATTCCAGTAGTTGGGGGGAGGCAAACGTTTAACCTGACAAGTAGGTAAAATGTAATTCACATTCCTCCAGTCACATTCACACAATCCAACCTGTACACCCATATGGGCATATAGAAGCGCTCAAATGAGACGTCATAAACTGTACACCTGCCAAAGCAGAGTAGGTCCCAGACCCCTGCCGAACACCGAAATCTCACAACGGGAGAAGAAGACATCAAAGCCATAGTATGGTAACCTATGGCTTTGATGGAGATGCAGAGGTGTTAGAGATCCCATGCCAGCCCCCTTCTGATCAGATGTAGTGTTTTTGCCTGTTTGACTACTTTGTATTCAAAACTACGGAGGAGGTTAGGTTTGCCCTCCCACCTCTGCCACCCTAAATCTTAAGTGTTTAAATGATTTCCAACAACCACAGGTGGGCAGAGTATCGCAAGCAAAGTTAGAAAGGCTCACCCACATCCAGTGCTTCAAACGTCCCAATCCTGATGCTCTACATACATTATATATGTTTTGGAAATGTTATAAATGCTGCTGACTTGGGTGTTCGTGGAAATTGGGGCATAGGCCACCACCAGCATGGGAGGACCCACCCTGTGAAGACCTCATCCCCAAGATCCTATAAGAATCATGGGATGCAGAGAAATGGGAAACGGGGTTCTCTCAGGGAGTCTACTCCCCTAGTGACCCCAATAAGCTCCCCGTTCTCCACCCTCCCCCTGCTTCCCCCTGGTGCCTGCCAAGGTGGCAGGCACTGGGGTAGACCCCAAACCCAATACCCCATCCCCCATCCTGGATAGGAGAGCCACTCCAGCTCAACGCAGTCTTACCAGGGGGCACTATACCCAGATGACCCCCAGCCTGGGTATAGCATTCAACCCAGCCCCCAGCCTAGCCCAGGGTCCACCACAGCCAGATCAGGAAACAAGTAGGGCCTGGATTTACTTCTGGTCAGAATTTTCCAGCTGCTCTGCAGATCGTGACATCATCTATTTTAAATGTCTACAACCTAGAAAACAATCAAAACCTTATATATTTTGTGGATACTAAGAAGCGACCAAAATTCAGCTCAACTCAGACACCAATGGCATGTCCACATAAGGTGAAAATGTTTTTAAAAAAACAACCTGTCAAGTACTGATTGATTGGTTGACTTTATTAATCTCACAGTGGAGAAATTTAGAAGAAGAATAAATGCCAAAGGAAGAAAAGGGGTATGGGGGTATATACAGTATATACAGTGTGCCCTTATATATATATATGACAGCTGAAGTCTTTTTTTTTTAAGCAGGATTATTATACAATATTATTGCACTGGGTATTTACATGGGTTTTTATATAGATGGGTATTTATCTAGCTATCGCACTGGGTATCAAATATTAAGAAATAGGTTATTGCACATTGTATTAAATACCCTGTGCAAATAAGATTGTGAAAATGGCAGCCTAGTGGTTAGGGCATAGAGCTTGAAATCCTGAGGTTGCGAGTTTAAGCCCCACTCCCACAGCCTCCAATCCACAATGGCAGGCCACTGCTCCCCAATCTCTTCAGCCTGGCAGGCAAATGCAATGAAATTTGTACTCTCCCAACAATAAAAACTACTTGGCCCGGGCGATCGGGCAATGGTTAACATCGAGCCCTGCACCGCTACCATTCTGAGAGCCAAAAGTTTATTCAACTATTGTCACCCATTCCAGGTACTAGATTAACTTTGTATTAGTCTTTTTCCTGGTTCACGAAGGTAGGCAGCAGCTAGACAAAGCGATGATGGCTATTATTTTACATCCAAGTAGTATGCAGTTCTTCATATATATATATATATATATACACACACACATCAATTTCAAACAGATGGTATCGGTATGGTATTGGTCAATTGGCCAATACGCACAGCCAGTTATCGGTAATCGGTATCGTAGCCAAAAAATGGCAGCACTTCTGTTGTTTATTTTACAATGTCCCAATGGTAAAGGAATATATGATATAGGATATCAGTAAATATCCATTATCTGTAATGGCAATATTAACATTGATTATTGATATCCACCAAGATTTTCATGTTGTTGCATTGCAGATCTCTCTCTATAGATATCAAATATTTAATTTCTATCTAAAAACAAATAGAAACTGCAGAATCTAAGATTTGTCCAAAATGTCACACAGACATTTTTATTAAGAGAAAGTTATAGACGTACTTGAGAAATGGCTTAAAAATAACATACCCAGAAATATAGGGGTGGCGTGGCACTCCTCTACGTTCAGAGAGCGAGGAAGTAGCTAACCTTACGTGCAAGCTGGTAAGGTTGTCGTTAACGACCCCCCTTTTAGATGCATGGACCAGTATCAGGTATTGCAGGCTAACAAAGAGCCCAAACGACTCCCCATTCCTAAGGGATAGATGCATTTTTCTGATTTAATTTGCATGTTTTCTAAGCCAAAACAAGGTCTTGTTTTGTTCCACTATATAAAGCCTCAACCTCAACACTAATTCTGACCTTATGAATTGAAAAAGCTCCCTGGATGGGAAGTGAAATGTCTTCAAGCTTTGAAAAATTCCAGTGGATTGTTTTTTTTAACATTTTGGAAAGACTTTGACCTGGATGACTGAGAATCTTCACCAGCGTCGGATTCTTAATCGTTGTCTGTGTTGTCGCAGTCAGTTTACCTACCAAGGGTTTCATGGCATAAAAGAGTGAAACAAAATTACAATAGTCTGAAAATGCTTTTTTTCTGTAAGATAGTACCCATATTTCTTCATTTCAGAGTTGTGTAATTTCTTTCAGACATATATTAGCGGTGTTTTCTATCCATATATACTTCTATTTATGATAAGACATGAATGTCACCAACACTGCATGAAGATCTCAACATTTGTGAGGTAAATTCTGCAACATAAAGCCCCATCCTTTGGTTCCACAGCCTCAGTGGTTTACTCTAAAAACACACAACATCTTCTACAATGTTTAAGGATGAAATCAACTCTAATTGGGGGGATTCATATTGTATATTTATTGTGAAGCTATCATCAAAGTATAGTTTGTAATTTTAAAACTTCTACTTGTTAAAATCCTTTAAAAATCTGATGAGATGTTTCCTGTGTGACATTTCCTGCAGGTGGACTGTTCATGCGCTCCACAGTGCAGGAGCACAGCGCCTTCAGGTTTGCTGTCCAGCTCTACAACACCAACCAGAATGTGACAGAAAAACCCTTCCACCTCAATTATAATGTTGACAACTTGGAGTCCTCTAATAGTTTCTCTGTCACACATGCCTGTAAGTAACTGGTCTTTTAAATATTATTTCTGTTGCTTAGATTCTGAATGAAAAAGTGATGCAATTATTGAGAGTAAAACAGATACAGATACTAACAATACCTTCAAAGGTTCTGGTCTGGTTCTTTCACGCTCTGTTCTGGGTATCTACAATCCTGCAGCTGGATGGTGGAAACTGGCGAAGCGCTTGGTCTTTATCCTCTCAAAATCCACTCGGGCGCCTGCAACCGATTTTTTACAACTCAGAAAACATGAAAATTAAAACCTTTAAGATTTTTTACATGAAATATAAAAAATGAAATGTTTTATATTTTTAGATTTATATTAATTTTTTATATAAAACGTTTTACATTTCAAAAATTTGTCTGAACGTATTGAAATATGTATTTAGGTGCACCATAAAGGACTTAAGAGATATGTGTTAATTCTTAAAACAAAATGGTTATTGGTTACTGTGAACTTAATAGGGCATAGTCAAGTTTTATGGCTCTACAACAAAGTCCAATGTGACTTTTGCACTGGATTTAACTTTATGTAAAGAGGGTGACTAAAAATGGACAGATACAAAGGATGTAAAAAAAAAAGTTCACAAACATACATGGATTTCTCTAGATGTATGCCTTTAAATTCCTGTCAAATATACTCTTCTATATAGTCTTTTGAGGCGCCTAACTGTATCTCTTAGCATCCCATCCTTGTCAGTGTGTCTTGCAGCATATCTGAATATAAAAGGCTCATTGGACAACCATAATGGATTTGATACGTAGGAGTGTGGAAAGTGACGTGGCTCTAGAACTGCACGACATACCCCCCCGATCTTATGCCATGCAGGGCGCTGAGTCCCGAATGAATCTGTTATCTCCCACCAAAAGCCTTTAACACTCCATGCTCCAAGATCAGCCGCAGCTCTCTGAACTCTGCCAGCCGCCCCAGCGATGACTGTGAAAGCTAATGAAGTGAGAACAAGCCTGCTAGAAGAAAGGGAAAATTTGAAGATGATGGCACCTCCCACATCCAGACCCCCCCAACCCCCGCAGCTGTCCTGTATGTGGACCAGTCCTGGCAAACCGCATTTAGCAGTCCGGGGTGCAGCAGCAGCCGGATGGGAGCAGCCGCAGCTGCAGGCAGGTTGACACACATTCACAGCCTCACGCCACGACTGCAACCTCACTCTGTCAGCAGCTGAGTAATTACACTGAAGCAGCTGTTGGGTCAGTGCTCAGCTCAAGGGCACTTCAACAGGCAGTGCTGAGGAAGACATGCAGGTTACCTGCTGGGATTGTCTGGATCAGGTGTGGAAGACAACTAGAATCCTCATCCATTGTGTGTGAGAAAAGCTTAGGGGTTTCTTTTTAAAGGATGAGAGGAAAACCTTGATAATCGGGAGTGAATTTCAGTGATCATCTTCTGCTTATAGCTCAGACTAATTCTAGCTGACAAAACACTGGGTGGTTCATTATGCAGACGAGCCGGTCGGCCGGGAACCCTTAAAGCTCCAACCTACACATTCACATATAACAGGCTGACTGCACAACGCCCCATCTTCCCTGGCTGGTTGATGTTTCGAAGCAACTTCAGGATTACGATTGTATGGGAAAAAAAATGTGTTACAATATTATTGAAAGCAAAGAAAAAGTAAATTAGAAAAAACTAGATTGTTAAAAAACGTCTTAATAAAAAAAAAAAGTTCAGGAATAATTTATAATGTTCACAAGTTCAACCAATATATTGCCAGTTTGCAATTTTTTAAATATATTTAATATTTTTAATTTAATTTTTTCAATAAAAGTTTTTTTTCACAAAAGTTTTTTTGGGTTTACTTTTTGAAAATCCCAAATTTTGTTTTTACAAATTTTTAAGGCAAACTGGACCAGTTCTATACCCTTCATCTGGTGCTTGTGGGAGTTCGCCCAACCAGTCCACATGTGTTTTGTGAATCTGGAGAAGGCGTTTAACCGTGTCCCTTGTGGTGCCCTGTGGGGGTTGCTCTGGGAGTATGGGTCAGGAGGCTTCTGTTAAGAGCTGCACGTTTTCTACATAACCGAAGCAGGAGCTTGGTTCACATTGCCGGCAGTAAGTCAGAACTGGTCCCGGTGCATGTTGGCTTCCTCCAGGGCTGCCCTTTGTCACAGGTTCTGTTCATTACATTTATGGACAGAATTTCTAGGCGCAGCCAGGGACCGGAGGGTGTCCAGTTGTGGAACCTCAGGATCTCATCTTTGCTGTTTGGACTCATGAAACCAGGACCTTCAGCATGCACTGGGGTTGTTTTCAGCCGAGTGTGAAGCAGTTGAGATGGGGATCAGTACCTCCAAATCCAAGGTCATCGTTCTCCACCGGAGAGAGGTGGACTCCCCTCTTCTGTTCGGTGGAGAGTCCTTGTCTCAATTTGAGGAGTTCAGGTATCTCCTGGTCTTGTTGAAGTGTGAGGGACAGATGAAGCGTGAGATCAATGGACGGATCGGTACGACCTCAGCAGTGATGCGGTTGCTGTATCGGACTGTCGTGGTAAAGAAGGAGCCGAGTCTGAGCATAGATGTTTCAGATTGGCCTGTTTTTTAGAGTAGTCCTGTTTCTCTGACTGTGACTGGCTGGGTGTGCTCTCTTCATCCTCTGACATGGAAGCTGGCTCGGAGCTTGTCTGCCTGGCTGTGTTTCCTGGATGGGGCAGCATGTGGAGCTGGTTTACAGTTGCCTTTTGTATCTCTGCTTCGCTCTGTATGTCTGCTCTGTCTACTTGAACTCTAGTCGTACTAAGTCTGGTTCTTTAAAGGGAGTTGTTCCTCTCCACTGTCGCTGCAAGCATGCTTAGTGTGAGAAATTGCCTTCTAGTAAATGTGACTGGATGATCTGGTTGAATTGTAAAGTGCCTTGAGATGACGTGTTGTGAATTGGCGCTATAATAAATAAACTGAATTGAAAGCTAAATTGAGTCGGGGGGCGAAGCTCTCCATTTACTGATCGATCTACGTTCCCACCCTCACCTATGGCTATGAGATCTGGGTAAAGACTGAAAGGACAAGATTGCGAATGCAAGCGGCCAAGATGAGTTTCTTTCGCAGAGTGGATGGGCGCACCCTTCGTGATTAGATGAGGAGATCAGTTACCTGGGAGGAGCTGGGGGTAGAGTCGTTGGTCCTCCACCAGCCGGCCCCGGATAAAACGAAAGAAAATAGATGGATGGATTTTTAAGGCTTAATTTTATCCTTTTAAAAAAATAATTTTTATAGATTTTCTTTTATATAAATTTTTCTTGTAGATTTTTTCAGATTCTGTTTTTTACAAAAAAATCTGATCTTTAAAAAAAAAAAGGGGGAAGTTTTTTAGGGGAAATTTTACCCTGTACATGGGTTAAACAGTATTCTACTGAATTAATAGAAATCAGTCTGCTCTATGCTAACGTTAGCAACAGCATTTCTACTGGCCCGTGCACAGACCACCCATAAGTGGAGCGGGTAAATCAATAAAATAACATCTGGAAAAAAACTTTGAAAAACTGAAATGTTAAAAGGAAAATAAAAATAAATCTTGAAAAAAACATTTTAAACAAATATATTTTGGACAATTAAAACTGGAAAAAATAGACAGGATAAACTTTAACCATGACCATAAAAAAAAAAACCTTTTCTAATAAAAAGTTTTTTTAAGTAAAGTTTTGGAATATTCTTTTTAGAAATGTGTTCTTTGCCTTCAGTTATTTTGAAACACATTTCTCTCTGTAGATTTGATGCATTTCTGATAAGAACTGCAGGAAGGTCTGAGTTTTCCTAAACTTGCATCATCTATTGAGAGAGTATCAGTGTGTTTTAAAATGACTGAGGTGTTTAGTATTTTTCCACCATTTTTTTATTTTTATTTTTTGGTGAGATGAGACACACAGACATTAATGAATGGGTCAGATTAATTAGTTGTGGGGCAGAACTCATCTTTTGTGTTTGCTTTATGGATCTCTGTTGGACTAAAAAGCAGGACACACACACACACTCCTACACACACACACACACACGCACACACAAACACACACACACACACACACCAGCTGGGTTGGTACGTAATGACTGTTACAAATCCCTGATGGCAAATGACTGTGTTGTTGCTGGCAAAGAGGATCAATAAGGTGGACAGCCGTTGTCCGGGAGCAGCAGTGTGTTTGTGTTTGTGTGCTCGACTCTGCCCTGTTCCCTGGTATGGAAAAATCAATTCACACCAAACTTTTGATCTTTTTTTTTCTCTCTCTCCAACTTTGCCTTTGGCCAGAAACGCTCAGCTGCGATGCTTTGAGTGCTCGTGTAAAAAGTGAACAAAAACACGATAAGGTCAACGACACATTGCAGCGAACATTTTCCAGTGGACATTGAATGGATTCTGACAGAGATCTTTGCTTTTTTGTTGTGTTTTATTTTATTGTCCTGGCTCTGCCACCTATTGAGTGAGTGGCGTGAGGCTGCAGGACGCATCGACGTGACACCTTGCCGCAGGCTGGGACTGATCGCATGCATAAAAGGGGCAACAGTGAGGTCATGTCCATTAGGACAGCAAAGACAGCTAGACAGTTGGTAAAGGCTCCAATTCTATATAAGCTGGAATACAAAATAACATTACATATAGCAATACTAAAAATAGTAAAAAAATAAACACAATAATTACTATTTTTTCATTCCCCAGTATTGCTCATATTTATATTTTTTTTGCAAGAAATTAACAAGTTTTTTTAAATCAAATTAAAAATGGATATTTTAATTATGGAAAGTTTATGAGAGTAACTTTACTGTTTTCTCAGATTTTGTGTTTTTTTAAAAATGTCTTTTAAAATTTCTGCTTTAAATGTAATATTTTTTTACTTTAATATTGTGATTATTTTTTCAAATTTGTTTTTCAGTTTGAGTGTTATGATTGCTATCTTTAAGGTTGCATTTTACAGATCATTCTCTTCTCATGTTTTTAAGATATTTTTCTTTATATACACATTTTTGAATAATCTTTTCTTAAATTTTCTTTTTTCAATATTT